GGAGTGTGAATCTAGTGCTCACCCTCAGTGTTTGTGCTGAGAGATATTGATAATTGTCATTGTTCAAACACACAAAAATCTCGTGACAATGGGGAAGAACAGTTAAAATAAAACAAAAAAGGCTCTTCAGGCAACTGATCACTTCTCTCGTGAAGTTCTCAATAAAGCTGTGCTACATCCTGCCAAACTAAACTAACGTCAATCGATGGGACCAACCAGCCTTGCGGAAGAGAGAAAAACCTAGGGTTACCATATTCAAACATTTAAAAAAGAGGACACTCCACGGGGCCCCGGTCCCGCCCCCGGCCCTGCCCCAACTCCACCCCTTCCCCGCCCCTTCCCCACCCCCATTCCAACCCCTTCCCCAAAGTCCCTGCCCCAACTCTGCCCCCTCCTCTGAGCACCCCGCATTCCCCCTCCTCCCTCCCGCTCTGATCTTGGTTGGGGGTTGCTAAGTGCTTCCCTGCTCCCCACTCGCCCTGCAGCCTCTGCGCCCCCCGCCTGCCCTGCTCCTCCTCACCCTGCAGCCTCTGCACCCCCCCGCCCCTGCAGCCTCTGTGCCCCCTGCTCCCCACTCACCCTGCAGCCTCTGTGCCCCCTGCCCCTGCAGCCTCTGTGCCCCCTGCTCCCCACTCGCCCTGCAGCCCCTGCACCCCCTCGCCCCTGCCTGCCCTGCCCCTACAGCCTCTATGCCCCTGCCTGCCCTGCTCCTCCTCGCCCTGCAGCCTCTGCAGCCCCCCACCTGCCCTGCCCCTGCAGCCTCTACACCCCCGCGCCGCCTGCCCTGCTCCCCCCGCTCACCCAGCAGAGGGAGAGCTGCAGGCTCCAGGTGGACTCAAACACTGCTGCGCTGCTCTGTGGGGGAGGAGGGAGCGGGGGAGGGGGAGGGACTCTGGCTGCTAGAGGCCCTAGTGCCTGCGAGTGGCTTTCAATCAGGCCAGGCGTCCAATCAGCCGCGCCGCACTCCGCAGGAGGGGAAATCCCGGACATTTCTACTTGATTAGAAATCCCCCCCGGACGGCCATTTAAAGCTGAAAAACCTGGACATGTCCGGGGAAACCCACACGGATGGTAACCCTAGAAAAACCAACACTGCAAGGTGGGCTACAGGACACTTCCAGGTCCATAAAGTGAAACCTCACACAATCCTAAGTCCCCAAAGAAGGAAAACCAATTCCTCCATTTTCTTCTGAACTGGCTAAACCTGCTGTACTCAGCACCTCCTCATTATTTGGTCGTGTCAGTTACAAAAGTTTTAGCATCGTCCTAATGAAAAAAGGAAGAAAAACAAACTAAAGCCAAAATCTGCCCATCTCCAAATGTTCTGGACTTGGCTGGAAAAAGCCCAGAAGCCACTTTACCAAGAGCTGGAAATAGGGAGTTAAGCTCAGAAAGCTCAAAGAGCTTTGGGGTTCATTTGAAGTCCCTCTCCAGGTGTGGGGCACTTTCATCTGTAGCCCTCAGGCGTCTGAGTCAGGATCAAGGGAATCCGAGTGTGATTCCTACGCGTGGAGAGCAAAGAACATTGTGGCAAGTGCCGTGCTGGGAGGTGGGGGGTAGAGCGGGGAGAGGATGAACTCCCCAAGGCTCGGAGAGACGCTGCTGCGTCGGGGTGGAGCGTAACAGTGAAGGGGGGAGGAGGGAATCCCTCCCACTCACCTCATCACCCTCAAATAACACAGAACCCAAAGCACCTTGTTTCCCTATCCCTGCTCCAGCACTTTTAGAATCTATTTAATCCTGGTCTCAAAGGGACTCAATGCACAAAAAATACATGGGTTTTGGCATAACCTGGAGCAATGTGAGACTATGTGGGCACGAGACAATTTCTCCCCAACGGGGGAATTCAGTGACTCTAACAATCACTCTGCTCACTGGGGGGATCAGAATATAGAAGTTGTTTGGGGAAGGGAAGGAGGGGGAACTTCATCCAGGCAGAGGGAGCTTCTGGAGGAGTTTGTCTCTCCCTTCCCCCAGCAGGTGAGCAGGAGGCAGGAAGGCCCCTGAGCTCAGCAGCCAGGGCTGCAGCAGGGAGCAGGGGCTGATCGGGACTTCTCCTCCTCTACCTGCAGTTAGCTGAGACCAGGCAAACCAGAGGGTCACTGATCAGCTCCGGGTCAGCTGCTGCGGGAACCTGCCCCCAGACATGGGCAGCTGGATACCTGGGAGTTAAATGCCACCGATGCGGGTGGGAAATAGGAAATGGAGTTTTTACTATGGCCAGCCCCAGTCAGGGCACGGAGAGAATTTCCCTCCAGTGGGGAGGAGTCTCTGGGGTCCAATGTGGTGTTCGCTCCAACTGAAGCATTTTCCATGAGAAGGACATGAGAGGGCTCTTCCCTGTATCAATGTGCTGAGGCTTGATGCCCTGCGAGCACCAGATAAAGCTTCCCCCACATTCAAGGTCTTACTTCTGTGGGTTTTTCAGTGGGGAACAACGTGTGAGCTCAGATTGAATGTTTTCGTGCAGTTATTGAAGCTTTTCCCACAATCCAAGTATTTATGGGTTCTCTCTTGTGTGGATTGTCTGATGTCTAATAAGGTTTGAGCTCTGACTGAAACTTTTCCCACAGTGGAGGCATTTATAGGGTTTCTCTCCTGTGTGGGTTCTGTGATGTTTAACAAGTCTTGATCTGTCAGTGAAGCTTTTCCCACACTCAAGGCATTTATAGGGTTTCTCTCCCATTTGGGTTCTCTGATGTGAAATGAGATTTGATCTGTTAATGAAGCTTTTCCCACACTGAAGGCATTTATACGGTTTCTCTCCTGTGTGCAGTCTCCGATGAGTATTAAGACTTGAGCTCTGACTGAAGCTTTTCCCACAGTCCAAACATTTATACGGTCTCTCTCCTGTGTGAGTTCTCTGATGTCTAACAAGCTGTGATCTGTCGCTGAAACTTTTCCCACACTCGACGCACTTATAGGGTCTCTCTCCCGTGTGCAGTCTGCGATGGATAGTAAGAGTTGAGATCCAGCTGAAGATTTTCCCACAGTCCAAGCATTTATAGGGTTTCTCTTCCTTGGGATTTGCCTGTTGGGCTGAGGTTTCCTTAGGATCCTTGCCTCCTCCCCTGCATTCAATAAACTCGTCCACTTTATTTCTTTGGCAGTTTCCCAGCCTCCTCTCTGACCTGTGCCAATTCCTCCAGGCTTCTCTCTGTTCCCAGCACTGGAAAAAATTCCCATCTGCTCTTCTCAGAAAGTTCCCCTGCGGTTCCACTTGCTCAGGACCTTCCTGGTGCGGATTCCCCTCCTCGGTCTCACTCATTGTCTCATCACCTGATGGGGGAGAGAGCGAATCCAGGCAGGAGTCAGTGCCTGGGCTGGCAGAAAGGACACAAAGGGGAGCAGGAGCGCCGCCAGCTTTGGGGCAGCGGAAGGTCCCGCCCCGAAATGCTGCCCCCCCACAGAGGCGGCGGAAGGTCCCACCACGGAAATACCACCGCGCTCGCTGCCCCCCAAATCGCAGCGCCCTAGGCGACCGCCTAGGTCGTCTAATGGGTTGCGCCGGCCCTGAAGGGGAGTAGCAAAGAGGGAAAACACCCCACAATAACTGTTGGGAGACTGAGCAATTGGATTCTGTCTCCACGCCCCATCCAAACACTCCCAGGGAAGTGAAGTCAGGGAGAAAACTCCTGACAGGGAACAGGGTGGGTGGGAAGCCATGAGCGATATCTGCCATGATACGACACCTGCTGACCAGCGCCTGACCTGGGTGAGACGAGGCAGAACTGAGGGGGGCTCACACCACATTTTGGGGATTTTCAGATTTTTCCTCCATTTGCCAGATAGTTTCTGTGTCAGTGTCACTGACTCCTCACCTCTGCGGGTGCCTCTTGGAACGTTGCTTTCCTCAGAGGCCTGGAGATCCGGGACCCACGGCTCTTCCCCTGCTTCCAGCCGGGCAATCAGGGCAGGTTTGGGAATGGGGCGTCCTGCTCAGGGGGTGAAATCAGGTATGAGCAGAGTGCACTGAGGATTGGGGCAGGATTTGTCACAAAGGGTGTGTCTTGAGTTTCAAATGACCCTATGGTTTGCTGGGGGGTTGTGGGATATGAACAGATGGGAACATGGACATTGAACCCTCATGGGAGAGGCCGATGTCTAGGGGAGGGGAGAATTGTCACACCCTAACTAGGAGTTCTCAGGAACTGTGGGCTCTGGGGGACTTGCCGAGGCACACACCACTCTGGTGTTAAACCCCTGCCTGTGTCTGAACCCCCAGAGCCCTCCCCACGCATGGAGCCAGTCCCAGGAAGGGAGGTGCACAGAGATGCTGTGTGAGTGAGAATTCATGCAGAGAGGAAAGCTGTGATAGGTGGAGGGATGGGGATGAATTAGCATGTCCATGGAGGTGAATGGCTCTCTCACACTGGAGCTGTGGACTATGTGACTGTAGCAATGAGGTGTGGCCTCCCACAGAGCGTGCAAGGGAGGGACCACAACATGGCCTCTCTCGTGCCGAACCATGAAAGCCATGCCCACCCCGCTGGAAGCTGAGGGGTGGGACAGGAATCAGAAGCACAAGAGGAGGGTCCTGCAGCTCTGTTGGGCTGGAACCACCCAGGAGCAGAGCTGCATCCCGCCTGCTGCGGGAACCTGCAGAGGAACCCTGGCGTACGAAGGACTCACCAGTTCTCCGCCAGCCGCCAGCCGCCAGCGATGCTGAGGAGCTGTTGGCGCTGCCACCTGAGGACTGTCCAGAGCTCCTCGAGCAGACAGATGACCCCCACATGACAGAGGTTCCAAACCCCGGGGACGTAGGAAGTAGCCCAAGGGAACTAGATGAGCACCTGGTTAAGGGTTGGCCTGATCCTGGGTCAGCGTGCTGCGGCCACATGACCGATGACCCCTTGGCCGACCACTCTGCCACCGTTAGGGTCCTGGGCTGGGACGTGGTGCAGTCGGGTAGGTCTCTGTCCCCCTTCTCCTGCCACCTCACCCCTGGGCAGCAGTCTCCCCACCTTCGGCGAGGAGGCCTGCGTTTGTCTACCGTCTGCGGAACTAGGTGCTAGCCTACTTTGGTGCTCTGCCCTGACTGAGAACCCAGGGATCACAGACTGCTCTGCCCGGCCTGAGGGCCTGAATCCTCGGCACAGCTACTACCCCCCAGCTGTGTGACAGGGAGGAGGTTTGGCCTCCCACCGAGTGACAGGGAGGGACCACCACACAGCCCTACAGTGCCCCATTCCCCTCTAATGTAACTGACCAGGGAAGAACCTGACCAGAGGCAGAAATGCAGACCCCGTGGTTTCACATAGCGGAGGGGACAGGAATCCTTACCCAGCGAGGTCACAGTCTCATAGTTCTCCTGCATGACGTCTCTGTAGAGGGCTCTCTGAGCAGGGTCCAGCAGAGCCCCCTGCCCCGTGGTGAAATACACAGCCACCTCCTCGAAGGTCACCGGCCCCTGAAAGAGCCCCACTCAGAACCTGCTGCCCCAGCCACAGCCCCACTATTCATGGGGGAAGAAGCACAATAGGATGGCTGTGGGAGGGTCAGAGGAGCAGAATCCCACCCCAGCCTGCTCAGAGTGGCCAGGAGGCTGCAGGGAACAGAGAGAAGGGGAGAGCTCCTTGTCCCGCCCAGCAGACAGAGGAGTGTGGGGTCTTCTCATTTCCCACCCACCTACTAGGCACAGGCTGATGTGGGAGGCAGAGCTCTGGGCAGGGAACAGGGACAGGAATCCCAGCACCTCCCCTTTGTATTCACTGCAGTCTCTGCCTAGGGGGTTCAGGCTCCAGTGCTCTGGTCTGTTTTCCCAGCCCTGTCCAGGGGGTTGTTTCCAGTTTCAGAAATGGGGGAATGTTCACACACTCCCATGGGCCTGTTCATAAACCAGGCCCTAGGCTGAGCATGTCCCAGCAGGTTTATCAGTCCCTGCCCCCCCAACCTCACCCTGAGTGTTTCCTGCCCCTCCCCCTCTACAACAACCCTCCCCAGCAGCTCCCCCAAAATCCCCTACCTGAGCTGGATCCACCACAGCCATTTCCCTGCCCCGGCCCCTAGGAAGATGGGAAGATCTGGAGCAAAACGGGGTTGTTATTCTGCAGCCTGTCAGAGCAAGAAAGGAAGTTCGTGAGGTTTCTGAATGAGTGTTAGTCCATTTCACACCCCGATTCCCCCAGGCTCTGTCCCTGTAGACAGACACTCTAGACTCTGCCATGCTGGGAGAAGCCTCAGTGACATTATTACAGCACAGACCCGACCTCTCCCCCGGGACTAAACCCACCAGACGCTATTACACTCTCCCAGGAACAGAGTCTCTGAGCCAAATGCCAGAAAAGAGCAGAATCAAAGGAGCCGCTTTGGGGGATCCCCCGACACTGTCCCCAGAACAGCCCATTCCCTCAGCAGTGCAGGGACCAGGCAGAGGCAGGAACTGGCTTTTCCTCTCCCTGCACCTCCCCTCTCCCAGGAAAGTCAATCTGCCCCGGGGGGCTGCAGGGAATGGAGCTGGGTAAGGCTGGGTGCCCGGAATCTCCCTCCCCACTGATTGCTCCAGCTGCCCCGTCCAGTCTCTCCCCTCTCCCTCCTGCACGAAGAGCCGGTCACTGTCCTGCCATTCCCGTGGGCGTTTCCTCGCCAATAGCTACAGCCACTGCTAACGGGGGTGAGCCTGGGGGCACTGGGCAGCAGCTCTGGGACTCACAGACACCCGGGGGGCAGAGGCGCGGTGAGGAGGGGCTGTTTGTGCAGAGTCAC